AAGACTGTTGCCATCATGTCATCATGGAGGAGCCACAGGATGTTCACAAATTTGTTAGGGCACCCAATTTTTTGGAGGATGGTCCAGAGGGCACTGCGATTCACTGTGTTGAATGCCTTTACAAGGTCAATGAATGCCATACACAGAGATTGATTTTGTTCCCTGCATTTTTCTTGGAGCTGTCGTGCAGTGAAGATCATGTCCACTGTTCCTCTGGAGGGGCAGAAGCCGTTCTGGTATTCTTGGAGGGTGTCTTCTGAGAGGGGTAGAAGGCGGTTTGCAAGGATTCTTGCAAGGATTTTCCCAGCTGAGGTTAGAAGGGAGATACCTTGATAGTTTCCGCAGTCTGTTCTTTCTCCTTTTTTGAAGAGGGTGATGATGGTGGCATCCTTGAAATCTGCTGGGATTTTCTTGATCACCCACACTTTTTCTATGAGCTGGTGGAGTTGTTGTGTCAGCTCAGGTCCTCCCTCTTTAAAGATTTCAGCAGGGATCCCACCAGGTCTGCTGGCTTTCTTCTTTTTTTGTTGGCTGATGGCATTGCTGACTTCTTCCAAACTAGGCAGTGCTGCAAGCTCATCCCTGGTTTGTTGTTGCGGGATTTGTGAGAGAACCTCTTCGGCCACATTGGAGCTGCGGTTCAGGAGGGTTTGGTAGTGTTTTTTCCAACGTAGTGCTATGATTTTTTAATTGTTTCACTACTGAAGACATAGCATTATTTTTTCATTTCCAGATTAAATATATCTGTCAATCAATCTGTTTATTTCATTGTTCCTTTTCTCTTTCCTCTTCATAGCTTTTTTCTGTCTCACCCGGTATCATTCCTTGATGCGCAGATTGCATTTCTGTATTTAGGTAGCAAATAGATTTTAATTCAATAGACATTCCATTTATCTGCTTAATCCAAAGTTCCACTTGTCTTTCATTTCTGAAGCAATCATTGCATCCTTCTGTCATTAATTACGAACCTCTTTATTCATAAGCTTGCAAGTCACACCTGAGGCTTTTCCACATCTCCATTTTTGCCCAAACAAGGCTATCTGGCTTCATTGATTTTGTGCTGACTACATGTTAGTGGTTCCCAATTGCCCACAATTTGTATAGTAATTGATAAATAAATCAACCAGAATAATGTCTGCCTTCTCATCACTGTTATGAGCTATGTATGTACTGCAATGGGAAACTTATTTGAGCAGTAGTAAAATACTGCACATCAGTCGTTTATAGGAGGTGAAGACGCCAGCAACCATTTCATTTTTGCATTTTTATTTATTTGTTTGAATGTTTTTGAAGGTGATTTGAAGCATATTTTTGGACTTCTAAAAGCCTTCCCGACTTAATAGCCACATAGCAATGGGAATTCCCTTATTCCAGAATGAATGTATCGGTTTCCTCAGTACAGTGCTTGTGGGTACAACTGGTCTATAAGACCAAACTAAGTTACCCACCACATTATTTCTTTCTCTTTCAGGGTGAGTGGATCATTTTCTCTGTGCACTTAAGAATGAGAGTGAAAAAGCTGATGCTGACAAACAATGGTGGGGGTGTAGGCTCCACCCACCCCCACTAGAGGCCTTTGGGGCAAGTGAAAGTGGTTTCAGACATCACAATATAGCTCCAAAGCTATTTTAAGTGAGGGAATTTAATGTGATGCTATGACATCTTCCACTATGTTCAAAGAGCCTTTCAATGTTGCTAAAAATGGCTTACTATGCACTGGGTTAAGAAAAGACAGAGATGCATGTATTTTATTTTTTATTCTTCACGAAAGAATGAACATTTTATATAGTTTCTCTCTACTGAGCAAAGTTTCAAGAGGTTCTTTGTCATTGTTATTTTTGGTATATTGGAACTTTTAAAAATAATACTTTCTGAATGAAGTAAGTTTATCACAGGAACCAACATATTTTTGCAGAAAATGCTGTATTTGGTTCAGTTATCTTATTAGAAAGGGAGCTGAAGGCAATAAACAGCCTCTTGCATGGGGTAAAAAAGTTTGGCACAAAAACCAAGAGATTTTGCAGAAACAAATTACCTGAAAAAGTCTGAAATATGAAAAACCTCCCTGCAGCTGGAAAGATGGCATCATGTTGAGACACACTTTCCCAAATATTCTCTAAATGCATTGTTTACAATAAGAGGACATTACAGGAAATGTGGACA